AAATAGATTAAATTAAACTAAGTCCTGGACTCGTGGCAACACATTTAACACGATTTTCAGAAGTAAATTTGTTGTAAGAAAATAAGAAAGAATGCAATGAATGTCTGTGGCTCATATAGATTACATATTTATTCATATTGTACCGTCAATATGATAAAACTGCACCAAAAATTCTATTCTGCACCACCAATGCCGCCACCACCACCCTGAAGTTTGTGGCAGGGGATATTGGCGCGGCTCAACCAAACCGCAATATCAATGTCGTTGATGTCGTGGTAGGGTTGAACTGTGCCAATACCCTGCAATACTGGGACATGGTTTGGTGGACATGATGGTTTGAGTAAAAGACTAAAAGTTGACCAAGAAGACCACCTAGTGCACTACTTCATAATGAAAAGATAACCTTTCCATTACTTAACAAAGTGTTGCTAAAATACTCAAAATTCCACCAGAATTCGTAGTGAAATCTTGAGGGAGGGGAAAGGCTCCATCTCATGGTCGGCCCTGACTAGGGATGTTGAGGATGAAGAAGACAACAAAGATCCTATTAAACTATGGGAGTGAGGAAGTAGGATAGTTTTATGTGCGCCCATGGTTAGGACTTCCTATTTATGCTTGCTTGAGGTGATTAAGACAATAAAGCGAGACGTCAGGTGCACACTCTTCGTGACGCGAGAGATTCCGTTTTTTCCTCCTTTTGGTTAATATGCTAATATCTCATTGAAGGATGACATTTACGGTTTGAATAAGTTGTCTTGTTGAGAATCACTTATCTAGCGGTTTCACTATAAGGCTTTTGAACACTGTACACGTGGTCTACAGCTGGTGGAGAGTGCTCTCTCCTCTCTGGCTCTTCCTCGTTTACGACATAGATTAAGACATCAAAGGAGACACCCCTTAGCAGAAGTAGGGATGGTCAATGCTTATCAACTTGTTACGTATTGGTTATTATTATAGAATATAGACTGTATCCTTTTATGCATTTTATATATCTTTTACTGAGGTCATACACTCGTACTTATTATACTGCGTTTTCGATTTGTTCATTATCTAGAAAATGCAACACTGTGTTCCTTCATTGGAGCAATTCTCTTTAAAAATAATCCGCAGACTTTCCTTCTTCTTAAAGCCCTCTTTCATTAAGATCATGACCATTTCCACGTTCCTAATTTCTATCAATATAAAACTTTCCATTTCATCTTTGTCAACTGGAGATAATGGCTTTATGTGTTTTTCAGTTGAATCTCTACCATTGCTAATGGCAAAAAACAAAGATAAAAGAAAAGAAAAGAAAGGAAAGAAGTTACTTATCACTGCTTATTGTTGGCAACATATATTCGTACAAATATACATATATTTTAGACTATAATTAGAAGGCCCACTACTCCAAACTTAAGCTGTCTTTTCCCAGAAATGAAAATATTGTGTGACCACATCACATTCACACATTTTGATTATATAGGTTAATGAACAGCAAACACCTGAATAAAATCATTTCCTTATGAAAATTTTATTTTTGTTTTTAGGTATCTCCGTGTTGTACATGCTCCAATTTTTCTTTGTAAGTTTGCATCTGATAGAAGACATATGAAGGATTCTGCGGGAAATTGGATTTCTCACCCTCCTGCATATGAATCCATAATCGCTGAAGGTAGATCTTTGAACATTTTCTGTTATTATGTAGTTGGCCAATGTGAACACAAGCGAAGTTGGTTTGTGGGTATAATCGATCCATTTTATGAACTGGTTTTAAGTGACACCTTTAAAATTTGTGGGTTTCCTCTGTGGTTTGCAAGTTGGGGATATAATCAGAAAATTTATTTTCCCTCAATCATTAGTTTCTGTAAAAGATACCAAAAATCTCTTATCAGAAAATGAGCACTTCTCCCCTATGTAGAAGTATTCTTCAAGAGAAAATACTAGAAGTGGTTTGAATACCTGCAACAATTTACCCAAAACTATGACAAACTTGTAAAACGACAAGGTCAAGTAAACATGAATGTTTTTCTCAGAGACATGATTTTGAGGACATCTCTAAGCACTTGCTATGTAGAATAATACCATAATATTTATACCCCTGTTTTTAGTTCATAAATATTTTCATAACAAATGCACTGCGGTCTTCTTAAGTAAACGATCCCCAGAGGTTCTCTTATAATTTTTAGTTTGTTAGTCAAATATTGCTTATGCAGATGGAACCATACACAATCTAAGCAAGTACATTAAAATCGGTGCTTCAGAGGTGACAAACGTCAGTGATGATTTGATGCACAGAGTGCTATCTGAAAATTTTGGTGTTGTTGTTACTGAAAGACAGCTGGAGGACTTGTTTTTTGCAAATTTCTCACTGATTTTTTCTACAATCCTACCTCAGTGGATCACATACTAGCATTTAGTGTAATTACTCGATGGAGTATGTCTCATTGTCCCTTTGGCTCTTCCCAAATGTTTTTCTATTTCACTATTTTTGTCCTTAAGGTTTCAACTTTTCAGTAGTAGAGAATGTTATCTACAATCAGAGGAAGATTAAGGCCACATTTGGTTTCAAAATGACTGTGATTCATCAAGAAATGTATAATTTAACACCAGAACAGAAATGATAATCGATTAGTGTGAGACTAACCTTTCTAATTCGGCTGATTGAATTGTATCATTGAATTATTTTTCCAACACAATTAAGAATTTGTTTAATTTCTTTGTTTCAGGTATTCTGATTACTGCAATTATGAATTGATAGTGTTTATTGTGTTTTCTGGTTTCACGAGCAGCTTTGTTCAAGGAGAAGAAAATCGATTTGGTACTAACAAATCTTTAACCGTCTTCTGAGAGATCAAGAAGAAAAGATGTTCTTGGTTTAAATCATTACACGGGTGGATGAAACCCCACAAACATCCATTACTGGGCTGTAAGTTTTTCTAATCTTTGGTTTACATGATAAATTTTTTGTATACTAAGGATCAGAATTAACCGCAACATTTTGCTTCTGAAAACTCCTTATTATTGATGTAGTCCAATACTCAACGCCGTAAACATTGTGCGGTGTCTGTCTATGTTACTTTATGTAATTTTATTGCCTTAATCTAGTGTAGCCCTATGTGGAGGGTTTCAAGTTTAACTTGACGAGATGAAGCATGCGAAGTTTAGTTTGCTACTGCAACAAGCAACAGCCTTGACCTATCTCAGACAGCCAGTACTTACAGGTCCACTGGTCCAGGGTCTCTTTATGCGGGTTTTGTAATACTGGTGGGGAACTATTAAAGGACCATTACACTTCAAGGTTGAGAGGAGTGTTTAGTGAGTGCCTGTCTCTGACATAAAATTAAATACACAAAGGCCAGGCCATAAAAAACCCCAAGGGGAACAATGACAGTCGTCAATGGCCCAAACTGAAAATAAAAAAAATAAAAAAAAGGAAAAAAGAAAGAAGAATTCAAATGTAAGTCTAATCATCAGTCCTTGGGTACAAAAAGTCACCATGACAAGTTGTTTTGGGGGACTATAGTTCTATGTGATGCATTGGTGTCGGTTCTCCGTTCTTTGACACTTTGATTATATCCGTAATGTTCAATGCCATCATGAGTACCCTTAGGCCTTAGATTCAGAAGAAATCCATTATAGACACTAATACAATTTAGAAACTATTAAAATATAGAACTATCAGATCGTTAGTAGCAATCTCAAGACATACTTAATTATATCGTCGCCATAACAATATGAATAGCTGTAATTTTTGTAGACTGTTGTCTGGTCATATGTGTGCCACCTTCCATATTAAAGAGTAATTGTGCCGACATCCTTGGATCAGTTTAAACTGCAGATGATGTCCTGAGGCTGAGTAACATGACCACGTATTTGTTTTGCCGGGATGATGTTGTTCTAAGGCAGTTATTTTATAGAATTGAGAATTCATATTTTTTGCTCTCTTGATTATAACTTTTTGCATGTAGCATATTCTTGGTTATGGAACATTTGTTTGTTAGAGCCATATTGAAGTATTGTGTCTTGGTTATCAAACATTTGTTTTCTACAATTCTACTTTGCTAGAGCCATATTGAAGTACTCATTGTCTTGATGAAACAGATTTATATGTCAGTGAAGTAAAGGCACTGTTTGGCCATGATTTAATATGGACAAGAAAGCGATGGAGGTTAGGGAGGAGATAAGGTATTCACACTTCTTATGACTGCTGAGTGAACTCTAGGGCAAACTTCAGGAGACAAGGCAGGGGCAAAAGATACAACAATAGCAACAAGTGCAACAGAGTTTTGTTTAGTGCAGAGCTAAAAGGCGGGCACCAATTGATATTTATTGTCTGGTGTATTGTATGAGGTGGGTCCATGTAAGTGGGCAAATGGGATCAGTTAGTGAAATCCCCTCAAAGACCCAGGAACAATGCAACAGGTATGATTAGAAAGATTTTCTGATTTTTCTCAACGGCAAGCATTATACTCGGACTCGGAAAAAAAAAAGTGAAGCCTGTCTCTATAAGTTGAT